AATTAGCAAACTCACCGGAGATTCTTAAACTCTGTGTCAAGATTGTTCATACTGTTTCCAATACGAATTAAAATTGTCAAATTATATTATTAAATGGGGATAATTTTTAAAATTTTTGAACACGATTAATATATTATGCTATTGATGCTACACTTTTGGAATCATTTCTCCCAAGTTTCCATTCCCAATATTTAATAATATTCCAACAAATTTCTTGTTTCTTATATCGATTATTCAAATTCCCATTATTCTTTCTTCCATTTGCCACTCTTTTGTAAAAAACCAAGTTACGTCTTAGAAAGATGAAGACTACGATTTTTCGAGGGGGGGGGGGCGGCATAGTCTAGTGGTGCAAAGGACGGGAATGAAGTTATTTCACGCCTTGCTGGTAGCTGCAGTGTGGGGGTTCGATTCCTGAGACATGGAATTGGACTCCTTGTAGGCGCAGTGTACAGGCAGCTTTTGTTCCCTGGCCTATTGGGGCACATCCCGCAATTTACCTCCCTCACAAAATTCTAAGGGTGGAGCAGTGAGAGCCCTCAAGGTTGGAGTTCAACCTTTTTTAAGATGAAGACTACGATTCTCAAGAAAGTGAAACTGATGATGTGGTGTACTATTGTGACGGTGATGATAATGAGAGACAAGAAGAAGAAGAGGACGCGAGAAGTGGTGCCATGGTCAAATTCTAGTTATATGCCATTGTCTCTATCTCTGCCACGGTTGTCGCGTGTAGTGAGCTCTTCTAGTAGTGATCTTGACAATACTTCTTTTAAGTTTACGTCTTCCAAAAAATCAAGAATGGGTGAAAAGGATGAAAAAAATTAGGAGTAATATTGAAATGATAAATACACCACAATACTTAATTTTTTTCCTTTTAGTTTTTATTGGTTTAAGAGTATAAGTGTAAATTTCTTTAGTGTATTTATTAAAAATATATTTTAATTGTGGAGTGATTATAATGTGGTGTAGTAAGTAAATTTTGTAGTAATAATATAGTGCCTGTTTTATACATATTTTAAGTCAATTAAAATTAATTTTTTGACCGTTATTTCTTTATTTCAGCTATTATTTTTGAATTCTTCTCTTATGAGTAGGACCTACTTTTTCTCTAACCGTCAAAAAATCAATTATCAAAATCCCTACCAAACAAGCACATAATTATCCCTAAATAAATTGTTGATCAGTTTTATAGTCAATCATGCTAAAGAAATTAATGAAACGTATCTTACGGATGCCTAAATCCATTAAGGGATAATTATTGTTATTCGTGAACTTGATGTTCTTTGATATACCAAAGAATGAGATCATTCGTTTACAATCATCACATCGTTATGCCGAAAACTGATATGAATCAAAGGAGTGAGCATGCATTCGTGTTTGAAATTCGTCAACTTGTTTGATAGGTAAATAGAGGGCTAGAGAAGGCCAATAGATAATTTTAACGTTTGTTGTGATCGCTCATATAAAAAGAGAGAAAATTAGTCTCTTATTTTTGTTGATGTGTCATTTGTTCTTGAGGAGTTTACTCTTCAACTACAATTTGGACTTTTGAAGAAAACAGAAGAAGATTGAAGAGTTGGAAGCTTGATTGTTGAAGATCAATATTCAAGATTCAACGAGTCTAGAGTAATTATTGTCCTGATTAATATTTAGTAGAGATGTTGGATCACGTTTTTTGAAAAAATAATTTTTTTATTATATATTATACTAGTTTTCTTTCCTAGAATCAGAAAAGATCTATATACTGACATGGTCATTATTTTGTTTAAATAAACCAATCCTAGCCGGGGCTATTTGACACCTTTATTAAATTGGTAAAAATAGTACAACACCAATGAGTCCTACGTTACTAACCTTTGCCCAACCAAATTGCTAATTAGGTTGTTGGGCTACTATGAGGGGTTGTCAATTTTGATTGTACGAGTAACAAAATTTTTATGTTGTTTTTGTAAAAGTTGAATTTTCTTTTTCGTGTCATATGCATATAAACCAGTGTTCTCAAAATTGGAATGGGGGCGGCCGGGTGAATAAAAAAAATTGGAATCGACTAAACGCCAATTCGATTATGCTCGTAAGACCGTTCATTCAAAAACCGGTGTCAAAACCGTTAAGTTGGCTAGTTAATTGAAAATCGACGACCCGGAAATGATTTTTACCAGTTCAGTCGTCCGAATCAAGTTATAGAAAAAGAAAAAATCCGACATCTTTTCAATTTCTTTCTAGATCTAGAAGTGATCCTGAGCCTTTTCATCTTACCTTTGACGACGTTGAAAGAAACTGTTGTTGATTTATTTTCCATCTTCATTTTTTCTTTTTTGCTTTCTATTTTGTAGATCTTCGAATTGTTGATTTTGTGTCGTTTCTCTTTCATCTTCACTGTTCTTCTTCCGATGACAATAATGACTGTCTCTCAATTCCCAAAATCAAAAAACTTAGCCTCCGTTTGACCCCATTATTTGAAAATGAAAATGGGGGAATAATATTTTTAAAAAAAAATGAGTGGTTGAAAAAGAAGAAAAAGTTTTCGATTTACGTGTAATATTATTTTATAAAAGATTGTGTGGTTGAAAATAGGAGAAAGAAAAATGAAATGTAATGTAATTGAATTTAATGGGGATCAAACATGGGCTTAGACTTGGGTAACGAAGGGCTCCACTTTTGTTTAAAAAAAGTGAATGCGTCCCATCACTCTTTAATTAATATTATTTTGCACTCAATTATTGTTAAATAAAGAACGTTTGAGTAATGATAATAAAGCCCTGTTTGAGTCATATTATTTAGAAAAAAATGTATTTTTCACAATAATTTACTATTATTTTAATCACATATTTTTCAATAAAATAATATTACACATAAATTCAAAAAAATTTCTTATTTTTTAATCACATATTTTTCATTAATACACTATTCAAAAATGCATTTTCATTCTAATAACGTGGAACAAGGGCTAAATTAGAAATAGTGTATTTGCTAATAGTATGGTTGAATTGGAATCATTAAATAATTAGATTTTGACCTTTTTTTAATAGGATATTTTTGAATATTTTTGCTCACTGGTTCAATTTCGGTTCGACCTCAATTCAATTCATTGACCCTTAATCCTTTACTTTTTTTGGATCGATATTCGGTTTGATTTTCAAAACATTGGTTTAAACTTTACTTTTCTTTTTTTTCCCCCCTCTCAGTCCAATATTTGTTTTCAAAACTTTCCACGTATTAACATAAATCATTTGTCCAAATAATTGACTTTACATTGTAATAATCTTCATGCCATATTTCACTATCCACGATATAGTATACAATAATTAAAATATTTCTAAGAAATTATTTATAGTTGATTAGACATTTCATTTAAGAGCATAAAATTTACAACTCATTAGCAATGAACGGCTGTAAGTGTAATATCGAAACTATCATCTTCAAATAATAAGGTGACAAATATTTTTTAACATTCTTCTATTTATTATTAATATCACTAAATATTACTTTATTTTTTTTTTTCAAATTTTTTATGTTACAAACATAACTTTATACATAGATTCTGTTAGCTCTCGGGACATGATTCAATGGTGTAAAGAATAGGAGTGAGGTAGTTTCAGTATTGCTAGCAGTCACAATGTGAGGGTTCGATTTTTGAGATATGAAATTAGACTCTTTGTGGCACCAGTGTACGGACAAACTCTTGTTCCCTAACCTGTTGAGACACATTTCGCGATTTACCCCACTCACGATCTAGGGTCAGGGCAATGGGAACCCTCAATATTGAGGTTCAATCTTTATTATTATTATTATTATTATTATTCAAACATAGATTCTGTTTAAACGTATGCACATTAAAAATGATTTTTTCAGAATGGAATAATCCCATCATACACCATATTCCTCGATCAGTTAATCATTTGGTAGAAGTAATCCTTTGCTTGTTACATCAGCTTAACAACGCCGCCGCCCCCAAAACCAAAAAAGGGGGGATGAAAAAAATAAAAACCAATTGGAACGATTTAAATACGACATCATATTTAGGACATGTTTGGTAGAAATTAAGCCTCCGTTTATCCCTATTTAAAATAAAATTCTTTAATTCTTATATTTATTTTTAACCATACATTTACATAATAAAATATTCTGCACATAAACACAAATTTTTTTAACTTTTTAATCACAAATTCTTAAAAATTCATACTCAAAGCATCATTTTTTTTCCAATATGATGGCCATCAAACGGGGGCTAAAATCCAATTTTTAATCTAAATCAAAGTCAACAATTAATTTTAATTATATACTTTACAAGACTCACAAATTTTCAATCATATATTTCATCTTATCAAAATTTACTAAAAAATTTGATTTTAATACCTACCAAACAGGAGTTTATTTTTTTCTACTATAGCAATAGAAGTAGAAATTTGTTCTTAATTCGAATGGAGTCGGATAATGTAATTTATGACTCAACGTGATAAATACTTATTTAAAGTTCGAAGTAATCCTTTTAGAACTCGTGGTATATAAGTACATATTGTTCCAATTTACCTACCTTCAAGGTTCAAGAATTGATACAATTCGATCCTCTACTCTTCATAAAAGAAAAAAGTACCATTTGAGTTATTTAAAACGAGATTTCATAATTTAATATGAAATAATTTTTTTGACACCATATAAAATAAATTAAAGTAATATTATAAACTATTTCCAATTATTTTTACTCCCGTGTCCATTTAATTATATTGGCCTATTAAATTATAAAAAACAAATAAATGACCGTTGTTGTTATAATGTATTTTAAAAATAAATATTTTTCTATGAAAATAAATCAATATTATACTAATAAATTAGTTTATTATGTGATTTTAAAGTGCATTTAATTAATACAAGGAGAAAATAGCAAATATGATGGGAAAAAGAAAAAGAAGAAAAGTAATTAACTAATTTAAGAAAATTCCCACCAAAGCAAACAGCCCCTTAAATTCGCTATCATTTTAGGTAACTTTACCCCAATCACAATCTCGGACAGTTCTCTCATGTCTTTCACAATCCCAAAGCTGGAAAATTCTCTCATAATTCGGTCAAGACGTCAAATTCAAATTGCCACTTTCCATTTCACTGTTCCTCCTCCTCCACCTCCGCCACCGGTATCACCGTCGACGGTACCATTATATGCCAAATTAGTAGAAAACCCAGTTCTATGTATAGAAAGAAAATCTGGTTTATTTGGGTTTTATTTAGCTCGGTTCTGATCCTAGGTGCCTATTTATTGAATTTGAATAGGTGAGACAGATGCTTATAATTGTTGGGATTTTGCTGATTTTTTGTTTGGTAGTCTGCCAAAAGTGGAAGAATGCGACGGCTAAAAGGGAGGAGATTTTGGGGCTGGTGACCATGGCTTCCGAAAAAGAGGCTGAAATTGCAGATATTATAGCTGTTGAGGATTTCAAGTCATCTCCTTTGCCACCTCCCGTACGGATAGAAAAGCGGTATTATTGTGCCGTTTGTCTTTGTCCCACTACTACGAGGTGCTCTCAGTGCAAGGCTGTGCGATACTGGTGAGTTTACTTTTTTAAGAATTATGGGTTATATATGTTTTTGATGCATAGATGTCTTTTATTTTCAAGTTGAATGTGGGAATATCTATTTAAAATTTTACTTAGTTGGACTGGAATTTTCGGGTGATACAGGAAAATAGATATTACATGAGTTCAGCGTATTTGAATGAAAAAGACTTGAGACTAATCTTGAAATATAGGCAAGAGTTATATAAAAATGTGAACAATGGATAAATGAAAAGAAGAATAATGTCAAGGAATACAGATTCTGTTTGCGAATTTAGTTGAGACGTTAAATTTGGTTGTTGATTTTCACTATCCATGACTATAAACCTAAGAAAAGAGAGTTTGTATGAAATATGATGTTAGGCGTTGAATTTCAGAGGTTTTTGAAAGTTGAATTGCAGGGACAACGTTCTGTTAAAAGAGTTTCTGGATGTTTGTTGGGCTGAAAAATGAAAATTCAGGGATGGAGCACGGGTTTGATATTCACCATTGAAATGAAAACTATGGGAATAAGTTTTAGCTGTGTTTCTTGTGGGGAGTTTTAACATTTGATGATTTTTTATTGAAGTATGAATTGATTAAAGAAAGAAGGAAAATGAAAAGCTATCATATGAAACCATAGACCAGGGTTTCATGCCTTAAGAAGTATGTGGTCATTTTAAAAATTTTGATTCCTTGCTATAAAATTTTATGTATTTTGTCTTCTTTTAAATGCATCATGCTAGCGTGTAAATTATGAAGGAATTCATTAGTTATCTCAGGAAAACAGTTGGCGGTCCATACTCTATCTTATCAGTCCATACTCTATCTTATCATCAAATGATGCACATTATATTGATGCACCTCCTCTATTCTATGCAAAATTGAAAGGATGGGAGGCAGATCTGGGTGTGTTTGTTGTGCCTTATGGTATTCACTATGTAAATAATGCTGGGCCATAGGCGCTTGCATATCAATATATTCATTGATAAAATTAGCGAAGGACCTACTAGTGGTTTGGTTCTTCTTTAAGCACCCTTTGTAGATGACGCAGTTCTGTGGTTGTGTAATCTGCGTTCCATGTTTTTAAGTACCCGTTTATACTCTTGTCCTCAAAAGCAGTGGCAGAAATTACAAGGATACTTTGCATTCTCTTTCTCATCGGCGATGGTATCAATCTCCAGTGGTAGGGAAAAGATCTCGCCACTTACTTCATGGGGAGTGCATTTTTATTTTGGTGGTGGTGGAGAGCTGGAAAGGGTTTTGTATCTTAACACTAGGTTCAGGGTATTGTACTATAACTTGCTTAGTAAGAAACCCTATCAGCATTTGGGATGGGTGATGTCAAATTTTCAACCTAGAGTGTTTTTGGAATTTGGATGGAATATCCTCTATTTCAGGGAAGTAGAGACTTGACATTTACAAATGTTTTTGATAGGTGTGGCATGTTATTGTTACCCAGCTACTAGTTGCATGGTTGTGTCCTAATATGGTGTAAATCACTTAGTGATCACAATTGTAAAGACTTGGTTCACATTTTTTTGGCCCCTGTTTGGCCCACATTTTTGAAACTCCATTTTATGGGACCTACTTTCATTTACTTTTCAACCGCACATTTCATCTTTTTTTCTTTTCTTTTTTTCCTTAAAAATCTATTAAAATATGATTTTAATCTATACCAAAAAGGGGCTAAGTCTTTTCAAGATCCTATTATCTTCAGAGGAGAATGTGATTACGTTGTTAGTCACATGAGGGAAAGGTCATTTTGGTGTTTGAAATGATTTCTATGATAGATTATTAACTACTGCAAGATATGTGAAAAGCTGGTTCTTGGATTATATGGGTTAATTTAAGTTGTGAATCACTTACGTGGCTATACAATCTACTTCCATTACCGATCATATATTTTATATTAGGTTGTTTAGAATTCTTCTTATTCTTGTAAGACATATTATGTGTTTGCAACTTTCTTTTAGAAAGCAGACGTGTCTAGGATGATTTGAAGTGAATTTTGAAGCTTATTGATTTTTGTCTCGTTAACATTTCCAAGTTTGTTGCTTTGTAGTTCTGGCAAGTGTCAGATAATTCACTGGAGACAAGGTCACAAGGTTGAATGCAGGCCGGCATTTAAGTTGGATGCTAGCGAGGGAAATGAATGCAGTATGCCAACGGCTTCACAAAATCAGTTTAAGATGCAAGTAAATGAAGTTAATGGCTGTTCAGATTCCCCACAATCACTTAATGATTCTGGATCCTCAAGTACATTGTTGTCTCGGTTCTCTTCTTCCGCCACTTATAGTGAAACATCATCCGATGCTTCTATCTGTGAGGATCTTGGATCGGATAAGGTACCTTCTGAAGATATTAATACCGATATGCGTAGAACTACCTTAGATTCTGATAATATGGAGTTGACAAGACCTTCATTGGATTCTATTGATTGTTCTGTAAATAAAATGCTTGGTTCTAACAAGTTAAACAAAATGCAAATTATCAATAGTAGTGAAGGCCCATCTGAAACTACTGGTGATGGCTCTGCTGTGTTAGAAGAGTTTGTCCCGAGTGCAACTAAGCTGAAGAATTCACGTTCATCTAGTTCTTCAAGGACACCATTTTCTTCAGCTGAGTACTGGAAAAATGAGGCACAGCTATCCAAGAGTAAGGAAAGGAGATCCATGTCATTTAGGGGTTCCGGTGATCATCGAATAACATCTACAGAACAACTTTCACTTCCATTTTCGATGTCTATGAAAACTGAAAGTTCTCATTCTTTGCCTTCTGAAGTTGAAAGCACACAAATACTGTCACAACCTGCTAGCAAGGGTTTGAAGACGTCAGTACGGAAATTTGTACAGCAGTTTAGAGCACCAAGGCAGTCAAACTCCTATGCGCTGGGTAGTAGGAAGTCCTCTATTGGAAAATATAATCACGAGGTTACTTGTATAACTTATTTAATTTGTTTAGTGCTGCAAGGTCTTCTTATGTTATAATAGTTTGTGGTTTTTATATTTTTCTTTTGTCAGGCCATATTTTCTCCCAAGCTGTTCATGAAATTGTACGCTTGTGGTGATGTGGAACTTCATCCCTTTGGCCTTGTTAACTGTGGAAACAGGTAATCTTTTTGTTGTTTCAGCTCATTAGATTATAAGAATGCCCAAAATACTACAATATCTGTGCTCCACTCTTAATATTATGGTGGGTTTGCAATGGCACAAAATGGTTATAGCTATAATTATGCATCTTATATATGATTTTAGCATGTTTATATTGTCAACATTATTTGTTTTGACATTCTAATTCTTGAAAGTAATAATGAAAGTGTTCCTTCTTGAATTTGATTTGCTTCTTTATTTGGTCCTTGGTTACGTGTTTGTATGTCTCTAATGTTTTATGGTCTTTTTGGTTTCTTTTTGTTAATTTGTCACTGTAGATAATCTGATTGCTGAATAGACTTTCAACAAAGTTTTCTTCATGACTTCGTACTATAAATTTTAGCATTTGATCTTCTGTAAGTGTTTCAAATGGGCCACAAGATGACTGGACTCTCTCTCTCTCTCTCTCTCTCTCTCTCTCTCTCTCTCTCTCTTATTAAGCCTCTATTTGGTCCCCTTGTTTTATAACTCATTTTCAACCACACATTTCATAGGACCCACAACTTTTCAACCACACATTTCATCAACTTTTATCAAAACTTTTTAGGCCTCCATTTTTCAGAATCTTTTAGAATTTGTAGCCTGTTGCAAAATCTGAGAATTGAATAACTTTGGACTCCGAATAAGGTTGAAATATAAGAAACTTTATACGTTTTAGAAGATTTTTCAGCTTATTTAGTTTCATTTAATGCTGGAAGTCATACTAATCTAAGAAAAAGTAATGCTACTAAATCCGCATATAAGTGAAAAACATTGTATTGTTTTAATCTTGGTGTTATTAATTAATGAAGTCCGTTTGGTTTACACTAGTATGTTTTAATGCCAGGCTATTTTCTTGTATTTCATGTAAATTATAATGCATCTTCCTTTTTTCCCCTTTCTGCAGCTGTTACGCTAATGCAGTGCTGCAGTGCCTGGCTTTTACTCGGCCAATTTGTTCTTATCTTCTTCACGGGTTTCACTCGAAAACATGCAAGTGCCTCTTAATAATTCTTACATGTTCCTTACATTGTCTTGATCGTTTGGGTCCCCTTTATTTTTATCTTATTCCATGTGACCATGATCTCAGGTCAGAAGCAGGATTGGTGTTTTATCTGTGAGTTCGAATATCTGCTTCTGAAGGGACAAAAGTTGAAATCTCCTTTGTCTCCAGTTGGGTTACTGTCTCAATTACAAAAAATTGGAAGTAATCTAAGTCATGGAAGAGAAGAAGATGCACATGAATTTTTAAGGTGGGGAATGTTACCTTAATTAAGGGTTTGCACCACCTCCACCCCAAAGAATTTTGAATTTAGAATGCAATTTTCTGAGATGGTAGGTGCATGGTAGAAACAATGCAATCTATTTTCCTTGAGGAAGCTGGGACTGCAGACCCGTTGGATGAAGAATCAACCCTTGTAGGACTAACTTTTGGTGGATATCTTCGTTCAAAGGTGTGTCTTTTTAATAGGCTGAATTCTTATGATCGACCATCTTGGTTTAATCATACAAGTTAATCTGATTTAGGTGGCAGTTGATATCATTACTAGTTCTTACTAATTAATCTTTGTAAATAAATTCCAGATAACGTGCATGAAGTGTTCAGGAAGATCAGAGCGTTGTGACCGGATGATGGATCTTACTGTGGAGATTGATGGGGACATTGATACTCTTGGTGAGGCTCTTGTGCAATTCACGACGTATGAAACCCTTACTGGAGATAACAAGTACAAGTGCAGCAGGTTCACTCATTTTCCTAATCATCTAGACCTAGTAGAATTTGGCACTGTTCTTGCATCTTTAGGTTTTTATTGTACAGAAAATACATTACAACGCTTTTCTTCACACATCCTCATCTGTCATTGCTGTTGCTGATATTATGCTGTTCTTTTTATGTTTGTTGTGCTAGACATGATCCTTATACAACTTTATGGGCTTGGGAATTAATCCTACGGCTTCTTGTTTGTGCTTGTGATTCTTGCCTAATCCCTTGGGAACTATAAAATTCCAACGTTACAGAAAACATGGTATTGGCTTGTACTTAATGTATGCTTTTTTATTACGTTAATGGACTCTGTTCTGCTGTCATTTGCAGATGTAAATCATATCAGAAAGCTAAGAAGAAATTGACAGTGTTTGAGGCCCCTAACATCCTTACAATTGTCTTGAAGCGATTCAGGGTAATTTATCATTAGCAAGCATTGTACTTTTATGCTATTTAACTATTTTTAATCTTTGTCCTATAATATCCACAACTTCTAATTCTTGCCCCTCATTTGTGTTTGCAGTCTGGCAACTTAGGGAAGCTGGATAAGCTAGTTCAGTTTCCTGAGGTTCTGAACCTTACTCCATTTATGAGCGGAACAAATGACAGATGCCCCATATATAGTCTTTATGGGCTGGTTGTTCACTTGGATATTATGAATGCTGCTTACACTGGTCACTATATTAGTTATGTCAAAGATCTCCAGGGAGATTGGTTTAGAGTTGATGACAGCAGGGTATGTTCTCATGCACATATTCTAAATTGGCCTTTGCCGTACTTCAACTTGTTCAGTCTGATAATAAAATTCTGGCTTCTCACTATATTAGCAGAATCAGTTGTTTTACATCCATTGGTTTCAATGACATTATTCTTGTAGGAGGCTATAGAGGATGTTGCGTGTTCAGAATCGTGGTGCCTTTTCATTTAATGGGTTTCAGGAAATTCCCTATAATTTTTTTTAACTTTTGTTCCCATTGACCAAATGCAGAATAATAGAAAATTAGAAGAAAGTGATTCACAAAGAAGTGCAGCCATCTGGTCATCACCCCACCCAGTACTCATTGCCCTCACTTTTTTCTCCTTAATTTTGTGCCTTCCCTTCTCTACCAACAATCCCTCCCCACATGACAGTCGTATATTCACACATTCCCTTACCAATGGAATACTGGATTACAATTTGTTTGATCTCTCTTGGCTTTCACCACGAGAAACCAATTGTCAAAACTACTGCAATAGTCAAAACAACTCTGTTTCTTACTTGGTTCTTCCCCCTTCATATCGGGATTCAATTTGATGGTTAGATTACGAATATTTTAGAATAAGATGCTGTTGTAATTTGCTTTCTTCTCCTTGTGGGATTCAAGATTTAAGAACGTGTTCTGGTCCCATTGCAACTTTTAAATGTGAAGGTACACTTGGCTAAGCAGGAGACAAATAGCAGCTGTATGTGTGACTGCCCCCTGGCACCTCTCTCGTCTGCTGTCAAAGTTGTCAGAATTTGTTGATATTAGAATATCTTGCTTTGTTCCGATATAGATTTTGAAAGTTCTCCTGGCCATTTCAGTTGAGAAAGAGCAAAGTGTCAAGACTTGCTGTAGACAGTGTACATAAATGAATGCCTGATGATTCGTTTTGTTCCATCATGCAGGTAATCCCCGTGGACTTGGAGACTGTTTTATCAGAACAGGCGTATATTCTCCTTTATGCACGGTAATTCTAACTCGTAAATTGAGTTCCATTAAGATGTGGTTTCTTTAGTATTTGTTTCAAACAAGTATAGAACTTTTTAGGCACAATCCACGAGTTCCATCGTTGGCGAGGGATAGCAGTGTGTATGCTGATGGGAAAACTATGAGAAACTTGGAAACCATTTCTGCGAGTAACAGTGGAAAGAGAAGAAATTCAAAGACCAAACTCCCTGTGGATCAGAGCACCGATTTTACAATGCATTATCAGCAGTCTCGAAGATACCCAATTTGGATGACTCCCAATGATTTCACTGGCAAACACATATTCGATTCCGAGGGTTTGAGGCAAAGAAATCCTTTTGTGGACTCATCAAGTGATTGTTCTTCAATTTTGAGCATGTCAGATGCCAGTTCATATAGTACAGATAGCACCAAGGACTCGAGTGCTGATGACGTTTCAGTCTATATGTTTGGACCTAGTTAGTATAGTTCTTAATGATTTCTACAGAGATGTGGATTCATCCTTGAGCCTGTAAACTGCTGCCAATACATCGGTAAATGTCTATTTGAAGGGACTCAGAACAGGATGCTAATATTGCACGCAGAAGCAGCCCAATGAGAATTTTCTGAAATGTTGGTACAGTACTGGACTGGACTGGACGAATATAGTCAACTCTACCAAAACAAGCCATAGAAAGAGTTACTATGTACACTAAGACAGCTGAAGAAAATAGATAGTTCATAACCGGGTTCACTAGTTCGCGAGTAAATCGACTAGCTACCCTTCAAAAAATTATTGTATTCCTCCTAATGGGGAGCAAACAGAGGGAGAGCAACTCGAACATTTTTTAGCGTTTGAGTTGAGAGGTAAGTTGTACATTGTTGAGGTACTCTGTATTTCAGATATTGGTTATAATAGCCAAGTAATGGAAAGGCCTTTTAAAGATCATTCTTATTCCTTCTTGTTGCTTCCTTTCTACTTATTTTTGTTTGTTTGCTTAAATCACAAGATGGGAATAATGATTTTTTGTACGTTCGGTAGGTCACACGACACATGATATTGATACTTCCGATCTAAAAGAGTGAGCTTCTTGTCTATGCTACGTGATCATTTGGTATACTGAAAATAATAAACGGGCATCGAAGCCCCCCCCCCCCCCCCACAAAAAAA